GCTTGTTCAATTATAAGCATGCCCACTCAAATAGATCTGTCAAACCAATGGCCAGAAGGACTGAACAAGAGTGATTTGGAAGCAGTTTTTCAGTCTGTTCATCCAAGGCATTATCTCTAATAGCTGGGGAATTCTCAGGCACTGAACAAACATCAACTTGTGTTGTAAATCTATGGGAGGATGCTTGAGGAAAAGTGCTCATCAGTGCCTGTATAGCCCAACTTAAACAAAGTCACCTAGACCTTGAGTTGTTGCTGCCCTGGAGTTAATCCAGGCCCCCTGTGTTTTGTAGAGATGGTAAGAAATTTGGAAATGCACGTATTCTCTTCTGTATCTTTGATTTCTCCAGCGGTTTATTAGGACCCTTCTTTGGAAGAAGATAGTGCTTTTATAGATAGTGTAAGTGCAATAGACAGGGTGGCCCTAAATTAGCTGCCAGCAACTGACGCACTAGGCGAACCATGCAATCTGCACCCCCACCTCCAAACCCCTCAATGATATTGCGTCACCATTTGGCGCCCCATTTAACTTGGTGCCCTAGGCGGCCACTTAGTTTGCCTATATGGACGGGCCACCCTGGGCAATAGATAAGATAGATCTTGGATTTCAGTAACACACGTGACCATAGAACCATATGAAGAATTATTAGTTAAATTAGTAAAGATAGAAATCAGTGCTAGAATTATATGTTGGGTAAGGAATTGGCTAAAGCAGAAAATGCAATGGGTTGTGCTGAAAGATAGATTTTCAGACTGCAGGAAGGTTGCTGGTGGAGTTTCTCAAGGATCAATCTGAGCCATTTTATTCAATATTTGTATTAATGAAATTGGCACAAAAAGATAGAAGTGTACTTGTGAAACTTGCTGATGATACAAAGGAAGGAGGCATTGTCAATACAGGGGAGGATTAAATTATTCTACAGGAAGACCTGGATGACCTTGATGACTTATGTAAAAATAGAATAAAATTCAAAATAGCACAAAATACACTTAGGATTTAACAGTAAGAATTTCTGTTTTGAGTTGGTCACTTACAAGAGACTTGAATGTGTGGGTCTAACACAGAATGATTACAAACTACCAACGTGGTGCCTCTGTTAAAAAGTCAAAAGTGATTCCAGGATGCAAGGTATTTTGAGGGAGGAGGGGTAGAAAGAGAGAGAGAGAATGAATTGCTATTGTTCAAGACACGTGTAAGTCCGCATTTGGAATACTGCCTACAATTCTGGTCACCCATGTTCAAGAAAGATGTATTTAAATGAGACCAGGTTTGGAAAAGATATACCAGTGTAGTATGGTCAGAGGAATGTAGGGCCTATCTTATGAGATGAGACTAGAAGATCTTGGCTTGTTTAGTTTACAAGAAAAGAAGGTTAAATGAGGATATGATTACTCTCTCAAAATAAATTAAGTGGGTAAATTTCAGGATGGGGAAAGAACTATTCAAACTTGAGGATGATGATATGAGAACAAATGGATATAAACTTGTCATGAATGAATTCAGACTGGAAATGAAGGCGTCAAACCATCAGAGGAGTATTGTTTTGGAACAGCCTTCCAACAAGAGTTTTTGGCAAACATGCCTCATTTCCAGCCTGAATTAAGACAGAGTTGGACAATTTTATGAATGTGATTGTATTATAGGATTACTTATGGTGGTAGAGGGCAGGACTCAACAGCCCTGGGGTTCACTCCTGGTTTGTCATATATTCCTAAAAGCTCATGCTTATGGTTTCAGCCAGTAACCCTTAGGGAGCAGGAAAGAATTTCCCTCCCTCAATAGATAAGATAGATCTTGGATTTCAGTAACACACGTGACCATAGAACCACATGAGGAATTATTAGTTAAATTAGTAAAGATAGAAATCAGTACTAGAATTATATGTTGGGTAAAGAATTGGCTAAAGCAGAAAATGCAATGGGTTGTGCTGAAAGATAGATTATATATATTTTATGCTTTTTAAAAAAAAATCTTTTATCTGAACCATCAGGAATACACAAGACTGGAGATGGGACATTGACCAGGATAGCCCAGAGTTCTGAGATGGCTCAGAGTATATCCTGTCTTAGGGTCTATTTATTTGCATATCTGGAGTGAAGAATTTTTCCTCCAGGTCAGATTGGCAGTGAACTTTTTGTCTTCCTGTGCATTGTGTGGGTGTGGTTCACTTGCCAGGATTATCTGGGTATATCTCATTTAATCATTACCCTGCCTTCCAGGATCTTGCACACTGGTGCTCCTCGGTCCCTTCTATTTTGAATGTGGCATATAATTGTTCTCCTTTAGACTGTGAGACTATGGTCTGGTTTCAGTTGTTGGGTTTAATGTGCAGGTGTTGATGGCCACTGATTTACATGAGATGAGACTAGATGATTTGGAAATCCCTTTTGGCCTTAAACTCTATGACCCTTTTTAGTCTTGGCAGGATTAAAAACGGATGATGATCTTGGTGTCCTGTTGTCCTTGCAGCCTGGTGTGCTCATTCTATTAATGTGTTTCTCCATTATAAGTGTTTGTTACAGTCAATTTGAAAAATTCAGGTGGGATTACTGTCTTCTTGGCCTTCTGCAGATCTTGTTATGTGGAGATGTGGATATTGATTTTTCTTCCATGCCCTCCAGTCCCTTTTTTGTCATCCCCCAATTACTTTCTTTTTACCTCACAGGTCTTTTGATAGTGCTCAATATTTGATTGTCGTCCAATTTCTATATTTCTTTAGCAACTGTCAGTTTATTATCCATGCATTCATTTAAGCTCACTAAGTCTTATTTCCCTAAATGTTTCAACATTGCGTTTGTCCAGACATTTGAAGAGTAGTTGTGTGTTCTCTCAGAACATCTTTTTCTGGAAAAGGCTGGGCTGCCTCTCCTCTCATTTTCTTCTTGCATTTCCGTAGTGTTGATTTTCCTTAGTGTTGAAAATGGATCACCCATTGTCTGGGAAGGCTCTTGTTCCTTGATTTATCATAATTTTGGGGGATCCAGTTCCAATTCTGGTAGAGTTTATGACAGTGATATGAAGGCAGGGCTCTACAGGAAGTGGGGCTACCTGAAGCATTTCGCTAGAAATTTTTGCATCAGTGGCTTACATTTCCATCTCCAGACGCAGCCATTTTCTCAGTCCCTTCACTGTCTCCTCCACTGAGTAGTTTATCTGTCTGGACAAATGAAAATTCCCACCACTTCCAAAGCAGATGTAAGCAGGGGCTGAACTGCTGCTTGCTATCAGCCAGCTAAAAGGGGTGTGTGCGTGTGTGCCCACTACAATTGCTTAGCTCTGCAAGGTAATTAACAGTTAACTGTAAACACAGCTCAGGAGAGAATCATAGGTGTGGCTATGTAAATCCCATTCAGTCAGGGCTGATGGAGGGTCAGTGTTGGAATGGAATGTGGAGAATTGTAAAGAATGTGGGACTGTTGTGGGGGTCACTAATCATGCTACCCATAAATGTGGGAACTGTAAAACATGCCACTAGTGCTTGCAGGGGAGACACCACCATCATGGTAAGAGGTCTAGGAGGAACAAGCCTCCCCCTTTCCAGACTTGATTGAACTGAGCTGCGGGGAAGGGTTAAAGGGCTTGAGTCAGCCTGCTTCACACCTGTCAGGTGTGAGCTATAAGACTGGCCCAACCTGCCCCTTTCCCCCTTTGTTTTAAGGACAGACCTAAAGCAGACTCCCAGAGGAGTCTTTTCTTATGCTAGTGCAGTGGAAGCTGGATTCCTTTGCCAGTCCAGCTGGTGGCTAAAGAGTTGAAATCACTGGTTTTGCTGAGAGCCAGTCCCATTGCAGCCGGTGGAGAGGCGGCGACCAGCAGAGTGGCTAGTGGGAATCACTGGCTGGTGGCGTAATGTGGCTGGTAGGAGTGATGGCAGGCGAGGAGTGGTGACCAGCGGCGTGGCGTGGAGTGGCGGCAGGCAGCCAGTGGCGTGGTGTGGAGCGGTGGCAGGCAAGGAGCGGACGGAGAGGCGGAGCCATTGGTGGACCACGTAAGGTGTATCAACCCCCGCCTCCCTCCAAGTTGGGATGGTAAAACCCTGCCGGGTGAACTTCTGAACCCTGGGGTGGCACTGACCCGGGGCAGAGACTTTTGGGGTGTCGGACTTTGGGACTTTGGGTGATTTTTGGGTTGTAGGACTTAAGAGACTCTTGGGGTGTTGGACTTTTGGGGATTGGCTGGGGGAGCAGAGGGCGGGGGGCGGGCTTAGCTCATGTTTGGGTTATGAACTCTGTTTGTGGTGTTTCCCCCAAGTTAATGCCGTATGACTTCTCTCTCTGTTTCATTAAATGTTTCTTTCCTTCACAAAGACTCAGTGCTTGCGAGTGGGGAAGCATTGCCTCTCAGAGGCACCGAGGGGTGTGTGAATTTCCCAGATTACTGCGTGGGGGCTCGAGCCGGTTCTGTGTGAGATGGACCCCAAGATATTGAGCCCAGCCCTGGTTACTGCCAGGCCTACCCAGCAGAAGGGTTACACAATAAATATCTGAAGCAAGTACAAACCAATGTAGTTCTTTTCCATTAAGACTTATCCCTGTCCTTCATCAGTTACTATTCCGCCTTCACAGACTTCTACCCCCAGGCATCTTCAATGTTCTGTTAGCTGTGAGTCATACCACAGTTCGTGCACACAGAATCCTTAAGGAAGGTGTCACGGGCCAGGTTGCCCCTCAGGCCTACAGCCCTGTCATCATCGGGGCCACCCGCCAATGTCTCCCATTTTGTCCTTTCTCCCACCACCTGTGCCCCTAATGTGCTCCCCCAGCTTCGTCCCCTCCAAAGCGAAAAGGGCCGGTGCTTGGTCCAGGGCCTCCTAAGCTTCGGTCTTCCTGAGTGTTATACGGTGCCCGCGACAGAGGAGGGGGACTTGGGCCCTCACTCCAAGTCCCGACCCAGGACCCCAAAGGCAGCAGCGTCGGCTCGCTGCCTGGTTGGTGGGGACTCCCCTGTAACTCACCAACCCTCATTGCCGCTGCCTGCCATCCCCGTCCTGGGTCACTTACTCCTCCTCGCCGAGCTCGCCTTCTCGGTGATCCGCAGCTCCGTCTCTCCAGTCGTTGACCGCGGCTCCCTCCATACAGGGCTCCTTTCCCCTGGCCGGAGCGTCCTCCCCTCCCTGCTCTCTCTGACCTCTTTTGAAGAGCCTGCCTTCCACGGCCCCGCCCCCTTTGCCCGGGCGCCCTCTGATGATGTCACCCGGGAAGGGGAATCCCCTCCGGGTGACGTCAATGCCCCCAGCTGGCCCCGTACACGTGGGGTATGTGACTCGGGCTGTTGCTTGCAGGCAGCTGCCTCTCCAGCACCTGGAGACGGTGAACGCCACGGCAAGTGCCGTGGCGGTCCTGCTAGCAGCCCTTTTGCCCCTCACGGGTGCTGGAGTACAGGGCGTCCCTGGTTCCGGGGCGGTCGGAACCGGTGCCCTGTCACAGAAGGATTGGAATTATTTGGACTGTTGAAGCCCCATAAGACACTGTGCTTGTTCTGAATGAAGCTCTGATAAACATCTAACCACAAAGGGGTGGGCAATAATTTTTGAGAGGGGGCACACTAAGATTTTGGAACGTGGTTGAGGGCTGCACTCTTCCAGGATATTAATGGAGGAATTCTGGGGTCTGGGATTGAGGTTGGGTGCAAAAGGGAGCTTGGGGTAAAGGACTGGGGTGCAGAAGGGAGAAGGGAGCAGGTCTGGAAGGGAGTTTGGGTGAAGAAGGCAGTTGTGACCTAGGGCAAGGGACTGGGATGCAGGATTTTGGGATGTGACCTAAGGTAGGAGGGGATTGTGATCTGGGGCAGGAGATTGGGGTGCCAGATCTGGGAGGGGGTATGGGTGCAGGAGGGGGTAGAGGGTTTGGGTATGTGGAGGGGGAGCAGAGGGTTAGAGAAGGGAGGGACTGGGGTGCCAGAGACAGGCTCTAGGGGGAAGGTACTTACCAGCAGAAACCTGAGGCAGAGTGTCTGCTTCAGGCTGCTCACTGCTCCACCAGCATGAGAAGGAGGGGAAGGAGGTCAAGGTGGGAGGGAGAAAGCTTCCTACACTGCTCCAGCTCCCATCAAAAATTTTCAGCTCCTGTTGGATGGAAACTGATAGATTGGTCAATGTGAGCTAAGAGATTTTGCTGGGTGGCAGGAACAGCATGAGAAGTCTCCCTCTTCCCTCCCCAGAAGTCCGGAAAGGAAAACAGCAGGCTTTTTAAAGTGTGAGCTGTTCTCTGCCTAAGGTCCTGGTGAGGTTGCTGTAGGCCAGATCTAGTGGCTTGGTGGGCCAGATCAGGCCAGCTGGCAGCCTCTTGCTCACTTTTGCTCTAGGGTGAAATTATGCTTGGTCAGTTTATTAGAATGCGTTCTTTCGTTGTTTTGAATGTATTGTCTCTACAATGCTTTTTACCATAAAAACAAAGTAGGCTTGCTTAGAGAGGGCTGTATGGTTACTTATATCTGTAGCAATCACTCTGGTTTCTGTCTCTGAAGAGACAGCAAGCAGGTCTGTTCAGGCAGACTGTTTTTGCTGGAATTTGCACTGTAAGTTTACACTTTGCAGCTCCCCCTCAGACAGAAGGGAGAGAAACCTGGGTTTCCATCCAGAAAGGTAACAGCTGAAGATCTGGAATCCTAGGGTATGTCTAGACTGTATCCTTCTGTCAGCACAGGGATGCAGATTAGGTAGGTCAACATTGCAAATGAGGCAGGGATTTAAATATCCCACACCTAATTTGCATAAAAATGGCCACCACATTTTGACGACTCACTTCGTTGGCAAAAAGCGGCAGTCTAGAGGGGGAATCTATTGAGAAAGAAAGCCTTTTTCAACAGATTCCTTATGCCTCCTGCAAGGAGGTTTACAGGATCTGTCGAAAAAAGCTTTCTTTCTCAACAGATCCCCCTCTAGACTGCAGCTTTTTGCAGACAAAGTGCTGAGCCGGCAAAACGTGGCGGCCATATTTATGCAAATTAGGCACGGGATATTTAAATCCCTGCCTCATTTGCCATGTTGACTTGCCTAATCTGCATCTCTCTGCCGACAGGATGTCCTTGCTGAATCACTGAGGGAAAATACTCTGAACTATGATAGCAAGTCACACATATGCTGAGTTAGGGGAGGGTGCTTATAGTTATGGCTTCTGATTTTTGGTTTTACTTGTATTGTGTGTTATTTATATTTATCAACAATAAATATTTAAACATTGGCATTTATCTGAAGAAATGGAAATTGGCTATTATCTATATAGAGCAATAATGGCAGACTATGAGGTGTGGTTTCTAAAATATACTACTGTATCGCACATAAATTGATTCATGTAGAATCAGTGTTGATAACACAATAGAGTTTCCCTAGTGCACTTTTATGTAGCACTGTTTCAAGCAGCACTACATTCAAGTGCATTAGAAATATTGCAAGGAGATTGCACAGTATACACAGAGCCCCCAAAACCTTCCTATTTGGACCTCTGCATTAAACTCAAAAATTGCTAAAAATTGAACCTTGGAAAATAAAATGAGTAATAGAAGTCCTATTTCTAGTCCTTACTGTCAGGCCTACAGTGTACTTCTATCTTGAGACCTAGAAGTCCCTGAATGCTTTGACTCTGCACTGAACTAGGAGGCAGGGCTATGACAGGCCTGCAGCCTCTCTAGAAAGGCCAGCGTACCTTGGGGCAATTCAACTATTTTCTTTACTACTTTACATTTTGTAAGTAGTAAGACTAACTTTCTCAAGATGTTATGGTCTCACTTGCCCACTACCTGGCTTCTCCTGTATATTTTGGAGAGCTACAGAGACAGGACCATTACAGTCCTGGTGTAGTGATATTGGTGTATCAGGACAATTCATGTTTTCTCCTTTCTTGTGTGTGGCTGCTGCTTCTGATGTCTGTTTCTGTGTGTGTAACAGAATGATGGCAGCCTTGTGATACACCAGTGCTAGGAAGCGACAGTTTCTATCCTACTTTAAAATGAGTTACTCAGTATTCTGCACATTCGTTATTTAACCAACCTCATTTCATGTCACAAATACTTAAGGGGCTTACTTTTATGAGCACTTTCAGATACGAATCACTGCAGACTCCAAGTAGGTCAGGGATTATTTGCAATTACTGCTGATTGCTGAAACAGAGAAACCCACAGCAAATCACCTCCAATAGAAAGTCCTGCTTATAGGCAGCCATTGTAGAGTATCCCTGAATTTTGCAGTAAAAAACTTTTTACTTTGCTAAACATTTTTATTGTATTGGGACATACAAATGAATTTCTAAGTTTTAGGGCCAGAATTTTTCTTTCTTCTTGCTCTTCTTATCTTTCCCTTTCCTTGTGGAAATCTGAAGTAATTCAGCTGACTTAATGGTGGAAACAGAAGAAGAGTTTGACTCCTAAATTAAAATATCCTTTTACAAACTCCATTAAATTCAACTATTTGTGTCTCTGTGTGACAAGGATCGATGCACTAATCAACATATGCACAGATTAATAAGTATAGAATACAGAAATGTGAATAATTTATATGAAAGGAAAGATATGGTCAGGTTGCTTGAACTTTTTGTTTCATTGGTGATGGATTCTGTAGACAATTCCCTTTCATGATATACTAATTGTATAGAATGTCAAACATGCACTTCTGCTTCATTTCACTAGAAAACTTCAGCTATTTTCCCCCCAAAGATATTCACCATTGGTTACTGATAGGCTAATAAAAGGTCTACAGCAATGACATTTAATTTAGAGCAGCAGCATCGAGCTAGTAGCAAGAATGAAACATGCTTCAGGGAAAAATAAGTTCCTCATTCTTATTGTTGGTTTTCCAAGAGGGCAGGGTACATACATTTGTGAGGAGTACACACCGTACTTGTTTCTTTCAGGATAGAAATTCTCATTTCATTTTAATCATCCTTCATTGTTATTGTCAAAAAGCTACAAATTGTTGGGGCTGTGGCTATTTATCTATCCATCTGGCTTTTTTCCCATTGCCTGAATTTGTAAAGAGGGAAAGTATCTCACTATGCAGTGTAGATTTCTTATCTCCAGGCTTTTCATACAATTCAGAACAGGAATAAAGCCAACAGCCATCTAAGTTTCTATACAAAATAAGCACTCACTGTTATGGAGTTTTGTCCTTGTTGTCTGATAAGATATGGCAGAGCATGTAGAAAAGTACCTGTATTGTCAGAGAATTTCATCTATCTGGTTAGTTCCATGATAACACTTTATGTGAAGGGCTGATTGTAGTTTAAATATGTCACTGTTTTGGAAGTGAAATAATGAAATCCAAGTCAGATATATGAAAACATTTTTTATACAGAAGGCAAGAGTGCCTTTTATGAACCTCCTATGTTCCAGCTCCCATAATAGTTCATACTGTAAGTAAAGTATCAACAATGTTGCAGGGCTGAATCCTGTACAATATGATTCCTTGATGTTTGCATAAATATATTGCCTACTTGCCTAAGCTTTAATTATTTTCTTCATTTAAAAGCTGCATGAAATCTGAGACAGTTAATTAGTTTATACTGAATGTGATGCTGAAACTCTTCAGAATATACATGTAGAAAATTCAGGTTGAGTTACTCAGTGTAAAGAAAAAACTTAAACAACAACAACAGATAGTCTGGTAGCACTTTAAAGACGAACAAAATATGTATATGGTATCATGAGCGTTCGTGGGCACAGCCCACTTCTTCAGATGACCAGAGTGTTGGATGTCCAGAACCAAAATAAATGAGGGAAGAAGGGAGAGGGGGAGGGAAAGAAGGGGAAAAATGGGAGGCAGATGGGACAGAAAGAGGCAGAGGGTAGATAAGTATCAAAGAGAAAGCTGAGTGTGTATGTAACTGGAAAAACTGGAAAACAATAGATAGTCTATTAGCACTTAAAAACTAAATAGTTAAAAGAAGAGGAGAAGAACCTTTAGTTAGCAGAGAAAGAGAACTAAAACACAGACATAAAGGACCTTTGGCACCTTCATTGTTTGGTTGGTTGATAATGTCCCAGCCATCCAGTATCTCAATTTAAGCCATTAGCATGAGAATTAAACTTGTGAATGAATTGTAGTTCCAATCCTTCTCTGTATACTTGGCTTATGGAGTTGACCTATAACAAAAAAGCAACTTGAAGATCCCTTAATGTGTGTCCAAGTAGGTTAAAGTGTTCAGCAATAGGTTTCTGTATGTTCCCTTTATGGAAATCTGATTTGTGTCCATTCATTCTTTCCTGTAGGGACTATCCAGTTTTTGCTGGCATTTGATGGCATAGATCACATTACTGGATATGCAGTTAAATGAGCCTCTGATTTGGTGGCTGATGTGATTGGCTCCAGTGATGAATTCATTAGTATAGATATGTGGGCAGAGTTGGCACTGGGGCTGATTGCAGAGCTGGGTTCCTGGATGCT